TAAATTCACTTGCCATCTCAGAGTGGAGAGGAATAAAAATTTAGCATGTAGCCTCCTTCAGAATTCTATTGGATTTTCTCCCCTCAGTGGAATTACAGCATAGTTCTCTCAATCTGACTTCATACATGGAGAGCTGGGCGACCACTTTATCACTGATTTACTAAATAGAGAATATGGACAAAACTTTTCAGAGACTCCCAAACCTGGAATCACTCAGGGTCCTAGATGTATGGTCTCAATATTGATCCAAGCATTCTGTTGCAACTCCACTGCAAATTCTTTTTAAACTAGGCCAAAACAGAGCTGTGTCCTAACTCTGTCTTTTAAAACACATTTCTGAATAATTGGAATGACATTTTCATAACCATGTGGGCTTTTATGCCCTGATGATACATTCCATTTTGTAATGCAAGAATGATATCAGGAAGTAATTGAAACTGTTGCCCAATTACTGGAATAGAGAGTATACATTTATTCACCTAAACTCAAATCCTCACTTTTGGCTGATGAATGTTAACATTCAACAAGATGATTCTAAAATAATAATCTTGGCCCTGTTCTAAGATGCTTTCCAGGTTCTTTTCTAAGTGGAGGTGGCATTTTATTCTGGTCTGTGCTCTGCTAAGTAAGCCATGGCAGTTTTGTTAAGCTATCAGTCTTATTTAGAGTGTGTAAACACATGGCTCCATATTCCATGAAAAACCAAGGATGGCAATATGGCAGACTTACGTCTGGGACGTTATCTCTGTTTCACTGCTGTTTAATACCTTTCAAACTTGCTAGAGGACTGCAATGATTTTGGTAGACAGTATGAGAGGAAGATGCCCTGTTACTTTAGAGCAGTAATTTGGGGTGAGAGAGAGATCTTTCTGCTGTGGGCATCACTGTTATCCTGGCCATTGTGACTGCTAGGGGAGGATGTGCCCCTCAAATCTGTGATGGGAGGAAAAAAGTACCAGAACCACTATTCTAAGTAGTCGAACAGTGCTTTTAGATTTTAAAATATATTTTAATTATTCAAGAAAATAAACATGTTTTTTAAGAAGCTCAAATATTTTGATTAAGGTTAAAAGCCATCTTGATCAAACCTTCCCTCCCTAACTTTTCATATCCCAGACACTTCCCAAGAAGAGAGCACTGTTAGGGTTGTTGTGTAACCTTGCAAACACTTGTATAATATTGTTTTCTAGTATCACGTTGTGTGAATCTATGGATAGTACTGTTTTCACTCTCTAATATTTATTATATTTTTATGATGATCCAAAATACTAGCTCATGTTTTAAAATGCTGCAAATCGTCCATAATATGGATAAACCATAGCTAATTTAGCTACTTCTCTATTAATAGACATTTAGGTTCAGACGAAATTTATTTATTGATTGATTTTTTTATTTTTTTATGCCTGCAGTAACCAGTCTTCTCAAGTACTAACCAGGCCCGACCCTGCTTAGCTTCTGATATCAGATGGGATTAGACGTGTTCAGGGTGGCATGGCTGTACAGACAGAATTTTTAAACTTTATTTTAAGTCAATTCTCATTCAATCCCAATATAAAAAGAAATTTTTTGTGCTTGATTTGCTCCTCAATTAAGTTATAACAACGGAAAACTTGCCAATTTCATATATAGTAACTTGGGCAAATTATCCATTGTGCCTTGTTCATGCACTTTGTGCCTCAGTTCTTTTATCTGTATAATAGGAATAAAAATAGTACCCATCTCATGGGGTTGTGGAAAGGATTAAAGGAGTTAATGCATGTAAAGTGCTCTAAACAGTGCCTGAGGGGTGGTGAGCCCTACCTAAATACTAGCTATATATTTACAGCATTGTGCTTGGACCACATTGTGTTCATCTCCACAGAATTGCTTTGGCCTTTGGCTCGTATTATCCATTAACCTGTTTAGAAGATATCACAAGAAAGCAGTGAGTTCTACTGGGCTTGGTTTACTGTAAGATTATCATCATGGATGTTGTTTATCTCATTAAACATAATCTGTGAAAACAAGAGAAGTTTCTCCCTTCCTCAGGAATAGTTTTGCTTCTCCTCGGCAGTCACTTTAACTTTACCATACAGATCTGTGCATTTTTTAAAATTCACTGTGTTTCCTTTGTTCCATTGGCTGCTAGGTGGATCTAGAATTTTGATCTACTTCTAGCTGTGTTATAGACTTTATGCCAGGCATTTTGTGTATTAACTGAACTTATAGCACTAACTTACCTTCTTATGATTCTGGTTTGTTTGTTTTTTTTTTCCAAGTAGTAAAACTAACTGTCTTGGTGGGTAATTGTACGGGTAGGCATCTTATTGCAGTGAGGAACCCACTGCACTCCTTGGACTGACGCACAGTTGGAACGTTGGCTTGCTGGGGTCTTGTGGAAGTGGTGCAGGACCGGGCAAATTCCCTCCGAGGGGCGAGAGCTCAAGCCCTGCACCCAGAGAGAGTTCTTGGCTGAGCACAAGAAAGAATTCAAACGCATGCCAGAGTTAGAGTCAAAAGGAAAGTTTATTAAAGAAGGGGTGACGCTCCGTAGACAGAACGTGGTCTCCTCTCAGAAGCAGAGAGAGAGCCTGAGAGAAACTCAGAAGGACACAGACAGTGAGAGGAACAGAGAAAAGACTGAGAGGGACCAAGAAAAAACACATGAGGGAATTCAGTTTATATATCACTCTTAGTTTCTATGAATTATAGTTTAAAGACTTTGTTTACTCATTTTCCTTTGATGGTATGGACATACAGTGTGAAAGGATGAGAGTATGTAATGAAAAAGGGTAAGAATATGTAGCATGAAAAGCCTGCTGGCAATTTCCAGCCTTTGATCCATAGGTTCCCCATGGTTTTAGCCTTAGGGAATAAATGATTGTGTTTATTTTGTGTAGGGCATGATTTAAAGACTATTTTCCATTGTGTGTAAATGGTTTGTTAGCAATCCTAGCAGAAATCTTCCTTTGTTCTGCCGGTTTCCTCTTGTTCTGGCTGTAGGGCTGATCAGCAAATTGCAGTCTCTGAAGATAGCTTGATTTCACATTTTAGTTCTCTTGCCTCTTCCCTGCATTAGAAGGAATCTTTCCTGTGTTCTTCTCTCCTTTACCTCCTGCTGGAGAAGTGGCAGCTGCCTGTGCTGGCCCCATGTACACACTGACTTTGACAGTGGGATTGGGTTGTACAGAGTTTCACTTGGGAGCCTGGGTCCTTTTCTAGCTATCCCCTGAAAATCTCCATCCTGTGAGCTCTTTGACAGGAAAGCACTTGACCTGCTGTTAAGGGTTATTTTCCTCTTTTCTTGTCGTATTCTGAGAAAATGTAAGTTATAATTATATCCTTGGATACTAGTCGGAGGATTTGACCATATGAGGACTGGAATATTAATTAAAATAACTACAATAGACTGCTATCAATACAAAGAAGCTGTTTGCGATTGTTAAGGCCCTTTGTCTATGGTGTGAAAGAGCTTCCATAACAATGAACAAGAGGCAGACTGCAAAGAGGCTGGAGTAAAAGGTAAAGGCATGGCAGGGGTGTTGTGTGTCCCATCTAGCTTGTGCCTGGTACAGCTGCCCTGAGAAATGGCCCCTAGGCTCACCCTCCAACTGTATCTTCAACAAGTAGCCAGTGCTTCTCTCCTAACTGAGGCTCCAGGCTTGAATGCAGAATGGTTCTTGTTTATGTTCTAGGGCCGGGCCTGGCTCTGCCACCTGCCCTCACTTAGACTGTGTATTGGAGAAGGGGTGGGATAAGGGAAGAAAGGAGATGCCCTTTCTTAATGGAGGAGGGCTGGAAAGCCCACTCTGAAGGTCGGAATGTGGGAAAATGGGCTCTGGAGAAGAGAGCTACTTTCAGTTCCCTGTGCCTGGGTTCCTCTCCAACCTCTTCTTTTGCACAATCATGACTTTCTTCTGGCGTAGAAGGTACCTGCCTCATAAATATTGGAGCATTGATTCCTCTGGTGCAGCTCAGATTATGATGATTGTCACTTCCCCACTTAACAATAAGGCCTACTTTTCAGACTGTCAAGCCCCTGGATGACCTATGGTGGGCCTCTGGTTTCAGCCTTCTATTCAGCATATAGGAAGGGAGTGTTTGGTGGTATCTGGCCAACTCAGTTCCAGTAGCAGCTACCTCTCTCCTCCCTGCCTACAACCAGGTCAGACACACCCCGAAAGTGACTATAGCACCTGTCTCTAGCTCAGGGTGTTTTATATGATTCTATCTCTTGTCTGCTCTTTCAAATCTCCTTTTTCTCTCTGTCCATGGTTTCTGGCTACTTTCCGTTTCCTGTGTTTTCTCTCTGCTTAGCCTTCTGAGATCTCTCTGGGTTATTTGGATTCTTCTCAAGATGTTTCATGTTAGCTTGCTTATCTCAGCTATAACACTCCAGAAACACAGTGTGCCAGTCTGGCTGCCAGAGCCCTTATAGAGTGGTGGGAATGTCCACTCCTGGAAGATAGCTTGATTTCATAATTTAGTTGAATGATGAATGGCCTTGCAGTTGGCATCTCCCGTCCTCCGTGCTCACTATGAGGTTCAGGACAGGCTTCCATGCTACAAGTTGTGCCCTAGCTTTTGAGAACCCTGGCATGAGAGTTAAGAGATACCAAGATCTTTGCAGGAGTTGTTCTCACGTAATTCCTTTGTGAATGGTACCAGCTACCCAGTCTCAAAGAGTAGAACCTTATTGCTATTGGTGCCTCTGGCAGTCAGTGCATCCAGCTAAACCAGACCCAACATGTCCAGTCAAGTCAAGCACCACTGGGCCTGGAGCTCCATTGAGGCCTTCTTGGATGAGGTCATCCAGGGGCTGGTTTTGCCAACTTTCAAAGCATGCCTATCAATGGCATCTGGTCAGGTTCTCCTTGTAGTTTTGAAATCCTGTGGTTTCCTATTCGGGTGGTTTTACACATATATTCAGTGAAACTGTTTGTACAAAATGCATACTTGATTTAGAAGTTGGTAAGATGTTTTTCCAATCTTTTAAGTACATTTTTTTTTCTTCCCTTTAGTCCCAGGTAAATCACCACGGTGCCACTAGTAATGAAACATATCAGGAACGCCTGGCACGTCTAGAAGGAGATAAGGAGTCCCTCATATTACAGGTGGGTCCTTTTTGGTGGGAACCAGCTTATCTGTTACCTCCAACTCTGCAGCCACCCTAAATGAGAGAGAAGCACAAGGGCGTTTCTCTTTTGGATTTATCCTTCTCCCGAAGTGTGTATTTTTAGAAATACTTTTCCTGAAGTAAGGCAGAAAGTAACTGGGGGCACAATTTAACTCTGGACTTGGCTTTGGGAGGCTGTGAATATATTCATTTATTTATCATGGATTACTGAGCACCCACCTTTATACACGCTCTTTGGCCAGGCTGATTAATGGAGCCTTGTCTTTTAGGAGGCCAGGGGTCTTGCAAGGATGATAAGCTATGTCTTCATGTTACTAATAAAACAGAGCCATGAGTGATACGGGTTTAAGGGTGCATGTTAATGGGATCAGGCCCAAATCACCTGGAGCTGGATCTAGACTTACACTTGGAAAACAAATCCCCTAGAGCTGGTAACATGGGCTAATAAGCCTTTGATGACTCTTGCTTCAAAGAGAGGAACTCCAAAACTTTTCATGGGAGAAAGATAGTCAAGGGAACAGTTTCAGTTCTGAAAACTTGCATTCCTCGGTGGGACATAAAGTTGAGCATTCTTATGCAGGCCTGTTGTGGCAGGGGCTCTTTGCTGTGTCAGCTCCCAAATGCATGAATCAAGCATCAAGGGCTGGTATGTGTTTCACGGTCTAGAGCACAATAAGATGAATAGCCCAATCAAAGTTCCTTAAAAATCTTGAAGGGTGGTGGACAAGACGAGTATTAGCTTAGAGCCCTGGAGTTAGGAGGCCGCAGTATATATTTTTTCTTCCATTTCACCTTATTTTTTTTCCATTTCACTTCATTTTATGAGTGTAAGAGTAATAAATGATTATTTTTGAAACTTTGGAAAATCAAAAAGAGTTTATCATTTTGGCCTTTCCTTTCAGTCCCTCCCTTTTTTTTTTTTCCTGTTCTGCCCCTATCTTAAATAATTAAGTTCAGACTTATACAATTATATAATTTTGTGTCCTTTTTTTTCTTCACTTCATTGATTTGTTCATTAAAAAAATCTTTAAGTCCTCACAACTTGGCAGACACTGGTTTTAGGTACTGTGGATACAGCAGTGAAGAAAACAGACTAAGTCAGTCCCCGTTCTTGAGTTTCTGTGTGTGAGTGTGTGGGGGGGGACAATAAACCAGTTCACAAATGTTTCAGGCAGTGATAAATACTATGGAGAAAAATGGAGCAGGATAAAGACTGTGTAGTCAGGGAAGGTCTCTCTGACAGGAGACCTGAAGGAAGCTAAGGAGGGAGCCATTTGGTTACCTGGAGAAGCATATTCCAGGCGGAGGAGGTGGTGGGTCCGGCCTACACCCTCAGATAGGAGTATGCCGGATGTGTGGGATGAACAGGAAGGGGCCATGTGGCAGGGGCTGGTTATGCGAAGAAGCCTGGTGGAAACTACCTTCAGAGAGGTAGGTAGGGCCAGATTAGATAGCACATTAGATAGAGCGCAGACGTTTTAAGGAATGTGTAATTTGAAAGGCCATCATGATTAATGAGTGTCCTATTTAGAATTTTGCAGCAAATAGTATTAAACTGCAAACCTTTGAACCAGAAATCTTTATGGCTAAAATAACACATTCCTATTTAGAGGATTACAGTTTAATAAAGAAGTCCTATTTGATAATCTCTTTGATGTTCATGGTTTTTAAAATTCCAAATTCTTGAATAATCCTTATTTAAGTAATCCTAACACAATTGGGAAACTGCTTATCAGAAAAGTCAGAAGTGGATCCTAGCTGTTTCTATTCTGCCAGGAGCTTGTGGACAGACTTTTAGAGTTGCTCTTATGTGATCACCGCTGTTCCATAGTGGCCCCTTGGAGCTCGTTAGAACTACCATCAGCATGCTAGGGCCTCTTGCTTAATTCACAGGGCAGGTCGGCCAGACTGAATTAATTAGGGCCCTTGGCCTTGAATGCTTTCCTAGGTTTACTCATAGAAGAGCAAGGGAAATCACACAGAACAAAATACTTAGTTCTCAGGATTAGTTAAAATGAATAAAACCAAAATCTTTTATATCTTTATTAGAATGTAAGTTCTCAGGGCAAGGATTTTCTTTTCTTTTTTCCACTTTTCTGTTTCCTCCACTGTCCAAAATATGCCTAGCATGTAGTACAGGCTTAAAAATATACATGTTTTTGTTGAATAAAGGTCAAATTCTAGGATCTTTATATATCTCGTCTCAATTTTCTACACTTCTCCATTCGTAATGCTTAGAGTGAGCACTGAAGTTCATAAGTACTCTGCAGCCACGTGTATCTTGAGTCTTCTATGCAGCTGAGCTACAAGTTATAGAATACTAGAGACCACAGATTATTCCCTTGGGTACCACCAACATATGGCCCCGAGGCCCTATGCAGACTATGCGTGTTAATCTTCATAATAAGATTAACCATAACATATCCTTCTCAAAGAGAAACTCTGGGACCCAGGGGCAAAGGCCACTCCCCGGAATCTTACCTTTTTGAAAATAGAGTTAGTAATTGAAAAGGCCAGGCTGCTGAAGGCATTGGACAAGAAGGATTAAAAAACAAACCAAGAAATCACAAAGGTTTGTGTTTAAATTGGACTTACTTGGCAGCAGGTGTCTGTTTTCGAATTATAATTGAAAAGTTAGCATACCGTGCTTTCAGGAATATGTTTCAATAATTTATTATTCACTTGGGAACATAAAAAAGGAAAGCGGAGAGTAGCCATATTAATTTAGATTAGTGCCTCTGTAAAGGGGAGCTTTATAATTCATAAAGTGTATTTAAACACTCATAAGTGAATTCACATTAACTGTTTCATGATCCAGCTATCATTCCTTTACATACCAAGAAATAATTTAGGATCATCTATACGTAAATGGAAATGACTCAAACATTGGTTAAAAACCAAAAGAGTCTGATTTCAATTTACCAGGCATTGATTTCTTTATTTTTAGGAGGTCACCCATTTGCTTTCCTTACCTTCCTGCTCTGAGGCACCTTTTAATTAAGAAAAAGGAAAAAAGGATCCCGGGGCAGTTTGCTAATAGAGAAGGCTATGAAAATCCTTTCAGTATATATTTAGGGTATAATATAAGTGACTTATTATAAATGGATTTTTATTAATTAATTCCAATATTCTCAGTGTTCTTCAGAAAGATGACTTTTTTCCTGCCGAGTGCAATGTGGCTTGTGTATATTTATGACTTAGAGTCATGTTTTGGCCTGTGAAACACAAAAACCTTTCTGGAGCCAAGTTTTGTCAGTGCTAATACATGCCCTTTATGTCCCACATTCCTTAATTGCTTCAGAACACTCATCTGATAGGTGAGCAGTCCGCACACCCTTATGAGAGAGGTGAGGTCATTGGTTAGTCTCCACAGGAGCTTGGATTGCTCTTCCACATGAAGTGTCAGCCCTGGCAAGCCAGCTGAGATATGCCTTGAGGTCGGGGCTGCCCCAGTAAGCTCGAGAAGAGGAATAAGAGCAAGAGTCCAGCCCAGAGGCAGCACCGTGGCTGTCGGGTATTTTTCCCTTGAGTCCGTTGAGAGCAGGAAACGTGACGTACATTGTTCAGGCGGTGGCCAAGACACCCTGGCAAGGTAAGAAAACAACTGGGGTTTCCTTCATGCGGGACACTTACCCCACCTGCCACCGGCCGAACAGAAAAGCCATTCTTTCTATGTAAGGATCAGTGGTGTGGTTTCCCGGCTCAGCTCTTGCAGGGAGCTATTCCTGCTCTTTCAACATTGCTTTATTTCCTGGGACAGGTGAGTGTCCTCACAGACCAAGTGGAAGCCCAAGGAGAGAAGATTCGGGACTTGGAAGTGTGTCTGGAAGGACACCAGGTGAAACTCAATGCTGCTGAAGAGATGCTTCAACAGGTAAGGGTGCATGGGGCTGAAGGCCCTAGGGTTCTACTGGGGCTCATGTGTTAAAACCCCTTTTTATATCAGGGTTACAGCTCTTACGTTTCCATCCTGCCTGGAGGTAGGATTGGCTGCTCAGCTTGTGGTGTTTTATATAGCAGGTAAAAGCAGCCTGAACACTGAGAGTTGCAGAGGGGGGAGGGAAGTATAGGGCTGGCCTGAGACGAATAACCTGTTGGGCTAGTTAGACAGATTCCCAGGCAGCACTTTCTCCAGGACTGGTTCAGTGAAGGAGATCTCTGCTGGCAGTGTCACCCTCATATTATCACATGAACTACAGCTTGACTGCAGGTATCATCTGGAGTTTTAGAAAGTCAATTAGTTAGCTTTTTGTATGCCCTTTTTCCACTCACTCTTCCCCCTCTCACTCTGTAGTCTTCTTTGATAAAGCTTATTACATATATAATATTTTAATATAATTTAATTGATATCAAAATGAAAAATAATTAGCTGTTCTCCTACTAATCTCTTAAGTGTCTTCTCCTTGTTTCTTTTTGGTCTTCCTTGTTATGTGTACATGTAATCTACAAAGGTCTATTCACATCACAGATACAATTTAGTCCTCAGATTTTGAATGCTTCACATCATAGTTTTTTTTTTCCCATTTTTAAATTTTACTGTATAGTTGTCTTTACTATCACAGTTAATTTTTTTGAGTGAAAGTATAATTGACTTGACTCTTCTACTCTTGAACAGTTTTACCCTATTGTAAATAATAAACTGAAATTTTTAGGAAGGATATTGAATTTTTATCAAAAGTCTTTTCAGAATCTGTTGAGAAGCTAACTGGAAATTTTATTTTATGAAATCTAATATATCTAGTTAATATCACAGGTTAATTTATATCACTCTTAACATTTTCAGTTATTTTGAAAAAAAAAAACCAACTGTGGCTGAAGTTTGCGTGTGTATGCTTTGTAGCTCCTGGTATAGTACTGGCACATAAAAGGTACTCACTAATTATTTAAAGAACAAAAGTCAGTCCCTTCAAAAGGGTGGGTTTGATTAAATGGTCCCTTGGAATCTTTCCCTCAAAGCTGTACTTTTTTTTTTTATTGCTGTGATCAGCATAAAATTAAAATTGTTTCTTCATAAAATAGTAATGAACACAGGCTTTGAATATGACCTTTGGTCTTAAGATAAGTCTCTTAGTTCCCAGGTATCTCCTAGTTTTGTTTGAGTGTGTTCGAAAAACTTTTAAAAAGTCAGTCAGTTTTCTTATGCAAATGGTTTTAAAAAAACTAGTTCCAGCAGCTCAGAAGCTGTTATTAGTTATCTTTTCATTGATGATTAATAAGTTACCACATTCCTGGCTCCATTTAATTTTCTTTTTAAATTGTGTGCCACTTCTCTTGCTCATCATACTCCCTGAAAACCTGAGTAGTGATAGAAATTGAGTCTTTTTATTTATTTGTTTTTAAAAACTTTTGAATCTTTCTTTTGAAGACTCAGGGAAAGAAATAGCCTCAGGGAAAAACCTCAAATGGTGAAAAAGCATCTTCACAAAGAGTGCATTGGACAACCCACTAGATTATATTTTCAAGGCTGCACAAGGTGTGGTTTGGGGTGGGGATGAGAGAAGAAGACGAAGACATGGAGTGCTGTAAGAACCCCAGACAGAAACAAAGAAATTTGAATGTGAAAGGGGGGTCTGTCAGAAAAATGTCAGAAGGTAGATGTTTCTGGAAGGCAGTGCCTGGCAAGTAACCACGTAATTGGAGGTCTGAGAATGGCTACGCTGTTGTTCCTGAGCCCTCTGACCACCACTCCTGGCTGCCCTTCCAGGACTGCCCTATACCCCTCTCTCTGGCAGAGCTTCTGCTCCCTTGTCAGGGTCTTCTAGTCAAGTAGTCTGACGGTGGTTCCTAGCACCACCTGGGGGAGTCCATCTTGTCCTTCTAAGCATTATCCCATGGCCTGGATTTTAGACTTTTGAAAAAGTTTTAATCTCAATTACCCTTTTTGTCCTGTTTATTCTAGATCTTCTTTCTTGAATGCTATGGGTTTGGCAGCAGGCCTGTGGTTTGCATGCACCATAGAGGTGGATATCTTGGCTTGGTATCTTTTGGAGTATGGTAGCTCTTATTAGCTACTTCTGGAGCTTAAAGATCTTCCTGAACTTAAGGTATTTTTATGCTCAGAACTTTCATTGTGTTCTCTCAGTCTTTTAAGGGTAAATGAAAAGAGTGTGGAATGCTCCTTTCTTGGCAAATTCTGCATTCACATCATAGGACACATATGAGCCTCAGCTCCCACTCATGTGTCTTCTGGACTTGATGTTGCCTGAGCTGAGATCTTTGAATTCCCAGCTCCAAATCCCAAGTCGAATACTCTGCTGCACATGTTCATCTTTCCTGAAATCTGCTTGATGCCGTTTGAAAAGACACTTAATTCTTGCACCACAGTGCTGATGCGATGTCATCTGTAGCTTGGAATTTATATGTATGTGTCCTCTGAACTGGAGCAGGCCGAGACTTGCCTTGTTTGACTGTGTTATCCTGGACCGCAGGGCTCTTGGCTTCTGGTGGTAGGAGCAAGAATGACTCATGGCCTTGAGGCAGAGAATGGAGGCAAACAATTGCCTCTTTCTGCCAGCTCCCAGAGACCATTCCTGCCCTGGGCCAATCCTGGCCTCCTACTCAAAGGCCTGAGGAGCTCTGAACATTTTTTTACGGACACAGTATGGGACCTTCTGGCTGCCTCTTACACTGCTTCCCTCGGGTATGTTGCTCCTGCATGCTGAATGTGTTTTGTCTAAATGAGGCAGCTGCTACTCACCTCTAGCTGACTGCCCATGTAGGCCTAGTGTTGCTAGGTAGTCCCATATTTCACAAGAAGCCTGAAATGTAGATTTAAAGATGTTTCTGTTTTAAAAACATTGGCAACTAATTTAAATGAAAAAAAAAAAA